GTGCCCGCGGTGCTCGCTCAGTCCCACAGCCGGCTGGGGAGGAGAGAGGGAGAGACAAACGGGGTGGGTCTCGGTGAGAGCCACAGCCCCCGGGAGTGGAGGGGAACTGCAGGTTCCCTTGGCTATGGCATTTCTTACCTGCATGGCTAAGTGCTGGTGCTGCTGGACCGGGTCTCCGGGATGGGGCTCAGGCACTCGCGGCGAGCCGTAGAGTTTCGTGGGATCCGATCCACGTATGGGGCCAAATGTTCCCGGCACGGCTGGTCTCTGGGGGACAAGGAGAGGTGCAGGAGGGATAAAACAAAACAATCTGTGAAGGGCAGAAAAGCAGCAGAGCTGCTGCAGGTGAGGGGAAGCCAAGGCTGGAAGAACCACAGAGATGGGCAGACGAGCTTTTTTGGAGATACATGAAAAACCTGTAGTCTCTTTCCTACGAGATGACACATTTCCCCTGCCAAAGCCAGTCTTTCACACCCCAGCCACATGTCCTTGTGCTCAGGTCCTGATACACCCCACTATTTGGGAGCAAGCAAGAAGATTGATGGGGGCAGTGGTTCACTCCAAGGGGAGGAGCAGACCACAGGAGCATGTGAGCAGGAAAACGGGGGAACGTGATGGATTTCCTTCAAAGTACTCTTGCCTCCAGGTGTCCTACTGCCTCCGCTTTATTTGCATCACAAGAAGCGCTCCCAAGATTTTGTTTGATCTCTAGCTAAAAGGACGAGGTGTAGCTTGGATCTCAGAGGAGCAGCTGATACGCCGCACCACAAACGGAAAAGGCAGTGAAGGATGGGCGCGGAATGCCCCAGGGGGGAAGCAGAACAGGTGGCATTCAGGGAGGAAATGTTGGGCTGAAGGGAGGTCACTGCCAGGGTGGCCTTGTGTTTGATTTTGCTTACTGCTTTTATAAATAAGGCACAAAATGCAGTAGTACGCAGATGGCACAAAGTTACATGGCATCTGTAAACAATTGAGACAGAAGACTGGCTTGTTCAGCATCATAAACTGGAGGTTGAGGGGGAAACGTGACTGCTTTCCATGCACAATGAGGTAACTCTTAAAGGAGAGAAGAGAACTGGTGGAGCCAGGGCTGGTGCAAGCGCACACAAGGACATGCTGGTCACGGGAAACGTTAGGAGACTGTTCCCAGCTTGTGTGTGTACCAGTTTACATCTAAGACCTGGAAAGTTTCAGTTGTGGAAACCGTAGCCCTGACCCTTAACCTCTAGGAAAAGGTTCTTGTCATGCAGTAGGGATTTCACAGTAGAGAGCATCATTCCCCTTTACCTCCCTCCCTCCCTCCACAGGCCTGATGGGTGACGAACAGCAGCGACTGCTCCTTACCATCTGGCCGGGATGTGGCACAGGGCTGGGCATGCCGCCATACTGCAGAGAGCGAGGGAAGCCTCGCCCATTGGAAGGGCCCACTTCTCGAGGAGGCTGCATTGGGTTGCCACTTGGATCCTCTGCAGAGGATGAGGAGAAGGAGGAGGAAGAGGAAGAGGAGGAAGAAGCAGGAGCCCTGGAAGTAGCTCGATATGGTGGAGGTTTTCCTCCATTTTCCAGGCGTTGCTGCCTCTTGCCTGGTCCATCTGAGTCTCGCGACCGAGTCCAAACACTGCCTGTGCTGGAGCGGCCAGTCCGCCGGCTCCTCTTCTCTCGTCTCCCATCTTCTCTGATCCAAAACTCCTCATCTGTGTCTCCATCTTCCCCAGGGAAGTGCTTCATCATTGCTCGGTGGAAACACCTCTCCAAGTTGTAAGCCATCTTGGTATATTCTGCAGGCAGAAAATCCCAACGACATCAGGGACAGAGCCTTACAGAGACAAACGATTAAGCAACATCAGACTGTCCCCATCAGATCCCCATCTCCCTTCCACAAAGCTTCTTGGAGGAAGACTTTGGTTTCTAACTAGTCGACTTTGGTTTACAGTCTTAAACTCGACAAGCAGCGCAGCATCAGGTTTGCTCGGTAGCCCTGCCAGAGGACAGGCGCAGAGGCATGACCAAGAGCCGTTGCGGCACGGCCTGCGGAGTCAGCATCAACCCAGCGCGGTGCCAAAAGCTACGTTACGAGGAGCCCCGCCGCTGCTCGCCGAGCTGTGTGACCCGCGCAGTTAGCCAGCGCCGTGCTCGGAGAAGAAAGGACAACTTCCAGCAGCGCTATTTGATTATGTTCAGAGGCTTTTCTCAGACTCGTTCAAATCTCTGCAGTATGCTACAGGACAGAGGAAAATCAGCAAACGTATTTATCCGTGTACAGTTTCTAAAGCACTCGCTGACCCTGACACGAAAGCTACTGCCAGCACCAGTGTCCCCACTGCGTCATTTCCACAGGACAGTCCTGCTCAGAGGGGCTCCTACTTTTCGTTAGAGTGGATAGGAAGGAAAAGACATGTAAGAGGTGTTAATGACAAGGGCTTGAAGCTAATGACTTTCCAGTTGTTTCCACTAAACTAACCCCAAAGTTCCTCGGGAAACAGAGCTCTCCCAGTGGCAGCACAGGAATGCTTTTACTTGGGGCCCACAGCGACAAGCCGGGTAGCTCTAACTATTTTCCCTTTCAAGGCAGTGCTGGTGAGACACAGTCTGCAGTGATGACCTGCCATATGGGAACTGATTTCTTACCTAAGCAACATGCAGAATTTTAATTGGCACGGCAGTAAAACCCAAGGTTTCCCATTTGCAGACTCGTGTTCATTCAATAGCCAAGGAATCTAAAAACTACGTTTTCCATCCAAAGGGTTATAAGCTTGGTTCATTCCTTACTCTTCTGTGGTGCTCAAACACTGGGAGCTAATCAGAACCCAGTGCTTTTCAAAGTCTGTGTTAGATATTACTAGACAAAGGAGCAGACCGAGACACAAGCACATGAAGGAATGAGCTCAGAAACAAACAGACTTTCTTCTCTTTCTACGCTCTGCCTTCACTGTTTACCAGCATGGGAGTCCCTTAGTATGCCATGCCCCAATTCAGCATGATCAAATTGTGCTAAAAACCTCATTAAAACCCCAGGCATTATTACTCATGAGGCTCCTAACCTTACGCCTGGCTTCCCCAAAATACCCTGCAAGAGAATAAGCACAAATCAAGTACTGGTGAGTAGAGAGACAACTGTTGGTTTTGACTCAGCACTGCAAATAGATGAACTTAGCATCTTACTGCTCTTACCACTGCCTTCACCATTGTACTTAAGACAGTTCCTGAACATGGTCTTCATATCGCCCACAAATTCTTCCTTGGTGCAGTACTGACCTCCATTCAACTTCTTCTCCATGCTAGATATGTCCATGGGGGCCTGAAATACAACAAAACCTCCTTTCGGTTACAACAAACATAGCGAGGCTCACTCAGTTGCACAGCTGCTTCCACACAGAGGGGACAGGGAGCTGAGGCTGCTCTCCTGAGAGGCAGCCTCTCATCTTTGGTTTCCTTGACTTGTAAAAGCTAGAAGGGACTACTGGAGTCATGCAATTTGACTGTGAGGGTAACCCAGCCCACAAAACTTCAACACACTGCTAAAACCCTGCATCCCAGTCAACAAAGTACATCAGTCAATCTGGCTAGACCGTTCTCCATACCTTAATGATCTGATAGTAGTTGGGAGCATACGATTCATCAACGGGCTCCAAGAAGGGCCAAGAGTCCTTGTGAGCCTTTACCACATCTAGAACTGGCAGTAACAAAAAAAGGTGAATGGTTACACACCTCTGCCCAAGGGAGTAGTTTACTCTGAACGAGTCAGGCAAAGGGGAAAGAAAGCTGGGGCAGGAGGACCAACCTTTGTACATGGCGGTGAACTCATCGTCAAGTTCAAAGCTGTAATGGGAAGGACAACAGTGAATATACAGGCTGAGGATATATTAGTCATGCTCTTTCCTCATATTCCCTTCCACCCCACACACAGTGCCACAAAGCTGACAGATAGGCCTCATCACAAACACTCCTCTAGCGTGGACCAAATCCAGGTGTTCCTTGGCTTACTCCTCACTGTTCTCCAGTCTCAATTCTCCCTGCTCATTCCTGTGAATGACCACACTCCTCTCCTCCCTGTACTCACTGCGTAAGCTTCAATGCCCATGTGTTGCATGCCCAGCTCATACTCACAGATCCTTGGTCCTTCGCTCTTCCCTGGTAGGGGAACTGGGATCCAAGTGGGAAAGCTCAGGGGGGAGCTCCTTCCCCTGCGCCAGAAGCCAGGCTCGCTCTTCACGAAGCTTCCTCCTCCTGGCCCGTTCTGCAGCGGGGAGGGGAGAGAGGAAAAAAACCATTCAGCACTCCTTGTCAACAAGATCTTGCAGGGAAAATGAAGGCAGGTCCTGCAATTCTGAGGAACTCCAGTGAAACATTCTCATTCTTTCAGGAAAAGCAGCAACAGCACAGGAGCAGAGGAGGTGAGAACACAGCGCACCATCAACACGCCTCTTCATTTCCCCTTGAGTTTACTATCGGTGATTCTGAAGTATTGCTGTGATACAGATGGCTCTAGGGGAGCCCCTAGCCAGCTTCCAGACAAATTCCCGAGCACGGTGTGTTACAAAGAAGTTCGACACACAGATCTGGGCATAGATCAGCACTATGCTTGTTAAGTTGCCATCCTTCAGATGTTCCACCTCAGCCAGGTGAGCTCAGAGCAGCTGGGTTTGCACTGAAGCACTTGCAGAGCAGGGCGAAGTTCTACCAGCTGGGTGGCAATGAGTAACCAGGGTCCTTGACATCCTCCTCCACCACTCTGGCTAGCTTTGGGAAAACTGTTTAGGTGGGCCCTTCACAGCCAGCTGCCTGAGCGAGGAAGCTGCCACACAGGAGGGCCGCTGGGACAGCTTTGGTTTAAGAGGTGAGAGGCAGGAAGAAGCAACGCTGGTAATATAACCTGTGGTTTGCAACCAGACAGCTGGCTAACAGATTGCTTCATAATAGAAAGTTTATGGGCTCTTATGAACCTCATTTCCTTTTTGTTATAGGAAATCTGAATTCATCTGACTTGCAAAACACCTGCAGTTGTACCAACTTTCTGTAGGAGCAAAATTCTGTGAAAGTAACGTTCAAGGAGAGATGTCATAGGAGTAACACCCCAGAAAACAGGTCAGAGCAGAGGAACAGCCAGAGTGGAAGAAGATTGGAGAGACTTGACTAATACCCTCTAGCAGAGGCTTCATCCCTGGAAAATGCCAAAACTCAAGAAGAACCAGGTCTGGTGGAAGAGTCTGTCTTACTCTCTCAGTCAAAACCAAACTTGGGATAGTGGTTGAAGGCACAAGGAAACAGCTACAATATGCGTATTTCCAGGGAGGACCATGGCCAGCTATGTCGAAGATTGGTAAAAGAAAGTCCAAATTTTCCCTTAGAAGATTCTGGATAGCACTGAAGTTGGGAGGACAGGGCTTGCATCTAAGATGTCCTACAGAATCTATAAGCATCTATTATAACATGTAATGATGAGAAGTCCAACATGAACCTGCAGTTAGCAGTCAGCCCAAGTACTGCATGCTTCTTTCATAAAATTATCATCACCGAGACATCCACAACAATGTCATCTGCGTGAGAAAGCTGAGACAAACACACAGAGATGATTTGAGCAGCAAAAGGAAAACCTCATGGCAACAGCAATCAAGAGGTAAGGTGATGTAGATTTTAGAAATCCATGAATGCCCGCTGAGGATCTCACCTGGAAAACAGGGCAGGAATCGGGGAGCACTACCCTGGTACCAGACTGGAGCTCAGCCAGCATTAATGGCAGGTGCCTCTACCACAGCAAGTTATTAATATAAGCACATTAAATATCACCGGCAGAGCTCGTCATCATACTGTTGACATGGATTGAGTCCTACCCAACAGCTTTCAGAAGATAACCCATGACCTAAAAAATGTCTCAAACAGCTGGACAGTCATATGTGTGAGAGGTAATGTTGGAGTAGCCTCTGGGAAGGGAACTGTGAAACTCTAACCTGCTGTTGTGCTAGAAATCTAGAAAGCTGCTTTAACTCATAAATTCAGGAAAGTACAGATGGGTCTAGCAGGAGGCTCGCTACCTGGGGCGTGCATTGGAACAGAAGGAAGTAAAATCCCAGACTGGAAACAGGAATGTGACCTAAAACCAGTCCAAAACTGAGAAGCAGGTGAAGTGCTGACGAAGTTCATCAGGGAGCAGATATTTCACCCTGTGTTTCCCATCACCCCTCTACAGACAACCTTACAAAATTAATGCAAAATCCCCAAAGAACCACAAACACAAGAAAATTTTTGTTGCCCTAAATTCTCTGCTGATGGATGTTCAGTTTTAACATCGAACCAAGCAAAACAAATTACTTCATTTTCAAATAATTTTCTGGCCATCATAAGAGCTGTCATAAAAGTAAATGTTAATGGAGGGTGTGCTTGGCAATAAGGAAAGGGGGTTAAGAAGCCCATGTTTTACCTGGATAGTTGCTGTTTCTAGGGATGAAAAATACTGCAGTGATTTAACTGAACAAGCCAGCCTTTTGAATAACCTTTCCAAACAGATTTTGCACCAGCTTAAAAGGAGACTTTTCCTGTCTCAGTCTGAACTGAGCAGGGACAAGTTTAAACTCAACTGAAAGAAACTGCACAAACCAAAATAAAAGCATTTCTGCCAAAAGAAGCATAAATGTATGCTAGATCAGCTTAAAACAGTTTACTGCCCGACCCCATGCTAGTTTCTTTGAGTGGCTCTGGTGACTTTGCATCGATGATGTAGTGATTGCATTTACCCAGGAAAGGATGTGGGTTAGTCCAAAACACGACCTTTTCACGTGTACACTTATCTTTGCAGCTCTTCTGGAACTTTGAGATTACTTTTGCCTATACAGATAGAGTATTAAAGCACAGAGGAGATGCAATTTGCCAAGGTGAAACAGATATCTGTGCCAGATATGGAATCTGGATGATTCTGAGTTTAAAGCACCAGATTAACCAGAGCTGGCAACCAGGAATACAGGAAGGCCAAGCAAGTAATTTGATTTTCTAGTTTAGAAAGGTAAGCAGGTAAAAAACTATTCTTAGATAACATCTGGTCTGCAGCAGACTGTTTCATCTTGGAAAGTTTACAAGGTTTGCATGAACTTAATCTTTTTTTCATTTTCTGATTCTTTATCTACTTAAGGATTCGCGATACTGATACTTCCAGACATTGCCACCACAGTTTTCTGAAGACGTTCAGCGTTTCCCTGGAACCCCAACAGCCCAGCCAGCCACTGTGGCAAAAGCAGCAGATAAAGGAATCTCGATAAGGGAGGCTGACAGGGAGACGATGGTCAGAAATGAGCCTGCTCTTAGACACCAGTGCCTACATGCACCGGCTGAATGCCTGCTGTCTGTGCCTCGATCTGACATAACCAACAGCACAGTTTGTTTCCTGCAGAACAGCTTAAATCAGCATTTAATTCAAAACCACAGAAAAACAAGACCAACACCTGAGGTTGCCACCTGCCGGTGCTCTACTTAACCTGGTCCCTATATCTTTAGTTCTCCAATTGACGAGGCCAGTAGCAACACAAAAATACTACTCTTGCTACTCCCACTTGGTCCCCTTCCCTTTCTCCTCAAAGGGAATCCTCCTTTCCGCATGCATTAGGCCAAAAGGACCAAACGTTACTCAGCAGGAGCAACGCCAGCTAATCCTGCACACAGGGAAATTCATGAGGGCCCAAGGGGGAAGCAGATGAAGGGAACCGAAGAACAACACAAACAGCAGGAGAATAACTGCGATTTGAGGAAGACTCAGCTGAAGGGTGCACTAGAGAACAGCCACCAACACCAGGAGAGGTGGACAAAGAAAAAGAAACTACAGTCAAGCCAATTGATCTGTGGTAAATGCGAGAGAGAAAAGATATTCCCATTAGCATGTCTGGCAGGGGAGGAATGCAAATGGCAGGTCGTAATTCAAGATCTCGATCTCAACTTTGAAAGCTTTTGCCTCTGCTTCACGCTGGCTGCACGTACCTTCCACTGCTTTGACTTTCTCCTCCATCTCTCTCTTCCTCTCCTCCTTTAGCAGCTGCTCCTGCTCCCTCTTCTGCACTGCTATCAGGATTTGGCGCTCCTCCTCTTCCTCCCTGCGCCTCTGCTTCTCCATCGAACTCAGCACGTTCGGGCTTACCTGTGACGAAACGGTGCACCAAAAACTGTAACGCATTGGCTTACTGAAGTCTGAGCAGGGGAAGGTTTACTTTGAGTAGGTACTAAAGCATACCGACAATGAAGGCTGCACGGCGGGGGAGGGAAAAGGAAAAAAAGGATTTGTACATATGAATTCTCGGATGAAAGGCAACATGTAAAGGAAAGTTACTTGTCAAGCAATGAAACCCTACTGATGCAGGGACAAAGGAAGGAGAAGCGATGGGTTAGACAAGCTGCTGGGGACACACCGTATGTATTTCCCTTCTGGGCAAATATTCGGTCTGCTGACACACACACACCACCTCTAAACCCCTTCCAGCTAGCAGAGTCCTGAGTTGCCAGCGTGAGTAGAAAGGACTGCTCTAAAACACGGTACTTAGGATAGGAAAAGAGACTGGTACAGCGTTGCGTCAAGGTATAGTTTGGAGAGTTCTCCTTTCCTGTTCAAAATAAGGGCCACCATATTTATGTGTGCTAACCTCTCCTGAACTAGCTCTCTCTCGCTTGTGTGTTGGGAACAGTTTTCTTGCTGGTTCCCTCAGCCAGTTTTCTCATTCAAGGTTCCCTGGCTCTTTATTGACCCGCTTCCTCACCTCACCACCAGCAGGCTGTGTGATCCTGCAGCTTGATCCCACTTAGACTGCAGCCTTCCCAGGCCAGGGATCTCCTGCTCCCATTTGCCCACTAAAGTGCAAGGTACCTATACAGCAGCGCGGAATTGCCTTTATTAGCTTAATTTAATTATAGGACAAATGAATAGATCATCCACCGGCCACTCACACTTCTCTGACTTCTTCAAGACCAAGGTATGTGTCCCTTATCAGCAGGGAACATCAACCAGAAAAGAACAATGTGCATACAGTTTTCTCCACCTCCATTTTCAGGGAATAACCAGCAGCCACCACTTGGGCAGAAGGCATTTCCTGGAGGATCAGTGATCAGCTGGGGTCCCTTGGCTGCCGCTCAGACCATCAACTTCTCCAGGCCCATTATTAATCCCCAGAAAAAAAAAAATCTGGCACCATGATTACTATTTTGTCCTTGTTTTATTGCTAGAAGTCGAACCTCGGGGTGTTTTGATAAATGCCTAGAAATGTTGTCTGGTTTCACTGTATGTTCATTCCCCCCACTGCCTCCCCTTCCCCTACAGTCTTTCCCTGCAGCTCTCCATGGACGAGCATCATGTATTATCTCCCTGTTTCCAGCAGCAACAACATAGTAAATGAGACTTATGCTTCAACTACCAACAGCCATGGAGAAGTGTCCCAGACAGGCTGATGGGACTCTTGATGATATTAGGACCATATCCTGCATCTAGGGACAGACTGGACAGCAAAACCACTTATTCTGTGCTGATCCTTTCTAGGCAAACCCCACAGCATGATCTCACCCCAAGGGAACTTTGTCAAATTAGTACTTCACTCTTCTACTGCCTTCCTAGGGAAACCATTCCATGGGGTGGGTCCACACGCCTTTAGGTTAACCAGCTTCTCACAGTCTAAAGTTAATTTCTCATCCCCTCATTCCATCCAATTATTCCTAGTTACGCACTTCTGGGCAAGCATGAATTCTCTTCTTCAGCCACATTCCAGCCTTTATGGGCTTCCTCAGACACACAAAACTCCCACATTTCTGTAATTTGGTTAAGTGTTTCCTTATAAAGCAGTCTTCCCAGGACCCTAATCGTTCCACATTTTCTTTCTCAGACCTTTCCTCTAGCTGATCAATATCCAAACGCCAGCCTGCTCTGGACTGAAACAAGTACAAGAGGTCAAGAACGCACAGAACTGTGTTCTACCTCTCCACTTTTGAATCTTTTAATATCCTTTTCTGAACCATCCTACCATCCTGTTTTCTACTCATGCTCTACAAACATTTCCCTTTCAGGTCTGATCCTGGTCATCATCAATCAGTTTTCCTCTAACTTTCTCGATCAACCTTTAAATTGCAATAGGAACTAAGAAACATCAGATTCTGCAGCAATTAGGAGAAAAAAAAAAAGAGGTGAGCAGGAACCAGTCATCAGAAGTTGGTACACCAAGATATTTCACCGAGGATGTGACCATCAGCCGTTAGAGTCTCCAGTCAGTAGATCTAAGCCAGCCTGGCACACCATACTAATTCCTTCAACAGTTGGTGCACAGGTCAGACCTTCCCTTTCCCTGGATTCCCACAGCTTCCACCATTAATGTCCTACAGAAATGTAGACACAATGTCCAAGCAGCAATGATCACACCAGGGCCTCTCCCAGCTCGTCGGGTGCATTCAGCACCCTATTCCGTAAAGGCACGACACAGAATCCGTAGCACGTTCCACCGCGACCCACCACAAATACGGCATCGACAAAGCAACGGGACAATCTGAAGCAAAGGAGAGGATGTCATCCTCACAGATGTAGGAAGAGAAGGGAAAAGCAGAAACCACAAGCGCCGCGTGTAGAGCACCAAGGGCTGCAGCAGATGCCCGTGACAACTGCACTTGCTCCCTTCGGCGCTTGTAGGGCAGCGGCGATGCTGGCACGGGCTCTTCGAGACACTGAAACAGCCACATTTCCAGAGGCACTACGGCCTGGTGTCCCACTTAAGCCCATCAGAGATGAGGTTTTTCAACTCAGGGTTAAAAAACATCAGCAAACACAAACAAGTAAACTCCTACTAGATGGGATGGAAGCAGACTCCTATTGGAATGATTAAAGGAAGAACCCAAGGCAAGTTTAACTTCCTGAACGAAAAGGTGGCAAAAGGGACATTTCTCCAGCTTCCTCCCCACTTGGAGGATAAACATCAGCCCCTCACATCTGCGAGGGCAGCATCACCACCTCCTTCCCTCCGCCAGAGAGCACTCCAGGACACGACATCACTGCCTCCTCCCTCCGGACCCCAAAAGGGCCAAACTCCGGCCTTTTGCTGTGCTCTCCAGACAGGGAGTATCAGGCTTCGGGGGCAGAAGGCCAGGAGGCATGGGTGCCCCAGCCCCCTCCAGCCGGGCTCCCTGACCCCTCTCCCTCCAAACCTTGCCTGCTCCGGTTTCTGCGGCACTGCCCTAATGAGGGTGCTGCTCAGACGGTTCTTTAATGAGGAGCTAATCGGAACCACCTGTTGAGAAATCCCCCGCTGGATTAGGAGCCTACAGAGCACTTCTATCTCGGACCAAAGCAGCATCCCTCTCACAGAGTCGGGAGGAAGGGATCACCCCTGCACCGGGCTGTTTTCTCCCCCAGACTTGCCTGCTGCCCACCCTTCGATCGGCAAACAGCCCGTCAGCCATGCTGGCACCTTCCCTGGCTCCCCCGCCGCAGGGGTGACTGCCCCATCTTGCTGGGGACCCCCCCTGGCACTGGCTGGCTCCCTGCACCCCAGCGCAGCGGGTGCCGGGGGGCCCCCTCACTCACTGGAAACGTTTCACTGGCCCACAGGCAGCAATTAACAGCCCTCTGCCGCCGCAGACCTGGAGCACCTGCGGTACTGATTAGCATCATTCAGGCTCCATGTGTTTCCCACTCCCCTCCTCCTCTGGGATTTCTGCTGCCTGTGAACAAACACGTGTCCCAGCACTTCCTGCACGGTGGGCTTAGCAGAGAGCGATTCTGGCCCCAAACCGGCCATCGCTGGGGTCTTATTTTCCTCTCGGTGGGCTTTTATCTGCAGCATGATGAGAGGTGCTTCCTTCCTTTGATTGATCTATTCTAAGTAACTATATTTATTGTGGGGAACTGTACTTTCTCCTTTGTTTTGCAGGAACCCCTGACCCTGACTCACGTGGAATATTCCCTGCAGTTTAATTTCCCAGGGTTTGACAAAACACCAGGTAACTACATTTTCATTACATCTACAGCAAGATATTATGGCGTGGCCTGATAGAATCAAGCCAATTTTTTCCTCCAGAGCTAATCCCGTGTCACCCGACGGATTGCTTTGGGTAGCAGTTGCCAGTTCAAAGACCCCCCATCTCCACCGTACCATGCCCCCGGCTGTGCCAACGTGACTGTCGGGGGCTGCGTGGTGAACTGGATCGGAAAGCTGATCTACGTTAAAAATAACCCTGACCAAAGAAAAAGGTTATATTTAACTCCAGTCATTTTCCCGGGTCTGGTTCACTGCACAGACCCGCAAGCGGCAGCGCTCTCGCACTGATGGGGTGGAGAGGAGATGAGGGTGAAGAGGCACGGAAAGAGCCGTTTCAGCTGACAAGGCTGCAGTTTGATAAGCATTTCTTTAAGCAGCCTAAATTGTCCCTTCCATTTCCAGCTGACCCCCTCCTAGCTCAGCGCCGTACTGCATCCGTCATTCCCCGCTCCCTCCGCACTATCTACACCCTCATGTGTTTGCAGCCTCACGTTTTCCCCTTGGCTGAATTTCTGTCATTTCCCTTTGTAAGCCGGTTCTTCTAGCCCTCTCATCCTTCTTCAAGTTTTCTTTGAACTGCCTCGAATGTGCCAGCACTTTCATTGAAGTGGAATTCCCCAGGCTGAGCGCAGATTTCCATACGCAGCTGCACCGGAGTCCGTGGCGAGGCCGGTTACCTCTGCGATCCAGAGGGCAGCACCTCCCTGCTCGCCATAGAAACCCTGAGTGTCAGCCTGCCTTTGACAGGCATTACCACCCATCTCTCTTTCAGCACAAGCACTTTCAAACCACTCCTTCCCACTGAATAGCGATGCTGCGGTTTATTTTTTCCCCCAGGAGGCATCTGCTCTTCGCCTCCCTCCGTCGGCCTCCCCCTCGCACCCCCCCTCACCTCCTGCTTGATTGGTTTGATGGGCTGATGGTCAGACATCCACCTGGGAGAAAACTCTGTCCTCTGCAGACGCTTCTCCTGAAACGGGGTTGAGAATTGAGGGAAGGAAAAAGAGAGTGGAGGAAATTAGGGCACATCGGTGATACTGGCAGGAGAAACTCTGGGGGCTAGAGGCGACCATGAAATCCCTATTTGCTCTACAAGGGTAGCAAACAAGCAAACTGAACTCGATCCAAGAACATCGCGCTGACCGCAGCGCCCGTTTTACAAAGCCGTCTAGCTGAAAGAGCCCCACCTGGAAACGCTGGGTTGACAGACGATACCCTTCGGAGTTTCAGGGCTCTGACAGACCAGCTCAAGCAGGCTTAGCTAGGACAGCGCAAGCAGCCACTGCCCCTTCGGCAGAGCCAGCTGAGAGACAGCGGTGAAAGTGGAATCAGAGGCAGTTTGCATAGAGAAGCTAGGCCGTAAATCACAGCAGTTCAAAAGCAGACAGAGACACTAGCAGAGAAGGGACACAGAACACGGCTGAAGACAGTAACCCCTTCAGCCATCCTACCTATGCTGCTGTGCAATCACGAACCAACTCCAGCCCTGCCGCTCCACAGCGGAGAGTCTTTCTCCCCACACGTGAGCCCAACGGCCCCCGCATCCACGACACTCGCAGGCTGGAGGCGGGGGGGAGCAGGACGGGGTGAGGGCTGCTTGGATTTGGCCCTCCTTCAATCACCGAAGGTCCACGCTCTTGGAAGCGGTCAAAGAGAGGTAAACAGGATGTCACGTCTCCTCACCTTCTGTGCAATCATGTTGCAGATCTCCGGCAGGAAGTCTTCACTCAAGAGTTTGTAGAGCTGCCGCTCTCTAAGGGAAGTCCTCTCTCTGAAGCTCTCCGTGACCTGCCTCCACTCCTCTTCCGTCTGACACAGCAGCCACCATGTCCCACGGCCAGGCCCTTGGGACCCTTCAACAACATGAAAGGAGGTTATCTCCCCAGCAGCAGACTAACAACTCCTCTTTATCCCTTCTCCTCTCCTCGGGGCTCAGGAAGAGCAAAAGATAATTCTGGTGGCCGCTGTTAGGAGAAACATGCTCTTTGCTATAGACCCACAGCTCTCTCGATCCCCCAGAAGAGCTGCTATCTCCCCTCATGACACCAGAAGTGATGCCAAGGCACAGAGGAAGCACACAGGTGAAGAAGTAACAGTGGCACTTGGCAACGCATGGGTAGCGTGACGCTCCTGTAGCAAGCCTCCATCCCAGCTCCGATGGACCAGAGAAAAGGAGTCGGTCTGGTTCTTGTAATGGAGGCTGCCAGCCAGAGCGGGATATAGGCTAATAGAAACATCTGATTTAAGTCTGGCAGCAGAATAAAAACATTGAAAATTAATGTTATTTGAAATACGCTTCTTTTATTTTTTTTAAGCACTGCGAACATTCGCTGCAGTGAGTAAAACCTCCCGTTCTCCCCAAATGAAACATTTGTGTTTGCAGGCACTTGAAAGGACAGAAGAGGAAGTGAAGAACGAGCTTCATCGGGCTGCCAGATGAGGGGGAAGTTCCAAAAGTTCACATCCCATCCCTGCTCGATCCAGAGTGGGATCTGAAGCAGATCTCCCACCGCTCCGAGGCATGTCCCAACTACCAAGACACTCGGAGCTGTTCCGCCTTGCGTGAAACGTTTGTGTGTTAATTGCGAAGGAAGGACTCTCTCGCGTGGTGGTTGGAACACCCACCTGGAGAGGGGGAATGTGGTTCCCGCTCCACAAATGTTTACACAGAGCAGAGAAGCCTCAGGGGTTGCAAATTGCATGCTTTTGCCCCAGGATGCTTTCTAAGCAAAAAAACGTTGTGGCCTGTTTTTGGGGAGGGGGAAGACATTGGTTCAAATCCCTTCAGGCTGAGGGGTTCTTGGCTCCCTCTAGACTTTTCTAGAGCTAACCACAGGCTACTGGAAAGAAAGTAATGGCCACCACCCCCACTGGCAGACATCTCACCGCTTCTCACTGCATTTTCAAGCAAATTAACTACGAAAAATATAAAGAAGCAAAAACCGGAGCCCTTCTCTGAACCTGAACCTGGGCCCTCCACAGATCTGCACTGCCCACGGCTCCGGTACATGAGCTATCTTGTTGCCCCAGGACGACTGGAGAGCTGCAGCCTCCCTCCAGCCACCTGCGCTCCGTCGGGAACGTCCATGCTGTGGTTGTGGCACAGAGCAAGCGTGTGCTCACACCCCGGGTCGCAGGCCAGCGTGCAGCTCAACCCGCCCTTGGCTTCAGCTCAAGCCAACGGACCGGGCACTGGTACGTGAGGTGGCGAAGGGCCAGCCATGTGCTGGTTTCTGCAGCCCTGGCTCTCCGAGGCTGTCCCCTGGCCAACTGCAGTGGGGAGCTTACCTGCACACTGCCCCCAGAGCCTGTCCCCCGTTTCCCCTTCCCTTGCCAGCTGCCTAAGGGCGACTCCTTTCAGAAGTAAGGAGGACATAGGCACTGCTTTGTGTCACCAGAAGATTACTCTGCAGCTGAAGTGACACAATTTTCTGAAAGACAATGATTTGATAAAACCCCCAGTGTCTCCCCTCTGGCTCTGCCGCCCAGCTCCGGAGCAGTCCCCAGGAAATCTGAAGACAAAGGATGAAGAGAAGGAGGCATGGGAAAGACAATGCCACCCTTCCCTTTTATTGTGGGGCAAGGGGTAGGCTGAGCCCCTGGGTTATGTGGAAGCCAATGGATCCGCACGTATGACAAACGAGTCCCAGCCCCCTCTGACTTGCTTTCACATTATGTTGCCAACTCGCTTTTTCTGCTTGCCTCGTTAACCCTTAGGTGGGTATCCCCAGGACATCATTTACAGAGCTCTGCCACCCAACGGCCATGGGAAGGAGAGGCGGGGACAATCAAAAAGGTTCTTCCTTCCTTATCTTGGTATCACTGACTCTTCTCCATCTCCATCACCACTCTCTTCTCAGTGCTACAAACAGGGCCTTGTGATCACCTCATCCCTGGAGGAGCAAGGGCCATTCACAGCCCATTTCCAACAACTTCAGTGGGTAGGTGGGTCCTCAAGGCCCTGTGTAACCCATTCTGCTACATTTCTTCATCCCAAACTAATCCACGATAAGATAGGAAGCCCGCAGGTGCCCCGGATCCCAGCTGCAAGGCAGCCTGTAACCCCAACCCCTCCTTCCAAACTCAGCCCCAACCTCTGGCAGAAAGAATCTCCCTTTCATGAGAAAGGCATCTCTCCGGGCTTTGATAATTTAGGAGGCCTGTTAGCTGATCGTATCAACCCTGACCCTGCAAAATCTCTTTACCGTTTCTTATTGGAGTCTCATGGATTAGCAAGTTCTCTTCTGCCTTCTCCCTACCAAAAAAGAAAGAGGAGTGATACAATAAATACATTACTTCACATCACAAATGCAGCCGCTTCTGAGGAGAACAATGCGGGACGCAGCAATTATTCAATGCACAGGAAAACCATGGAAAAAACCAGCATGTAGAATACACGTTGAATATATATATATTCACATATATATTTATCATAGCTTCAGAAAATTTTAAGAGTTGAAGGGTGCAGGATGGCATTTGGCACAGACAGTATTTCGGTTCTTACGGGAAGCATCCCAAAATCTATACTGACCCAAGTGGCCAGCATTTTTGGCTTCAAGTGCTACGCAGTGAAAGCGTTCTGTATCAGGAGCATATTCCCTAGCACTGCACAGGGGAACTGTGTCCGAAGTGAGGCAGTTGGAAGAGTGATATCCACTGTTTCACCAAACTTGGCTTCCAGCACACTCAGAATTTTCTTTGGAGAATGATCAAAGCGTCCACCAAGCCTGAGCTTGCTTCGCTTCAGAGATGCGTTGAAATGATGGTTGCATGGTACATACATACTTATTGGGGGAACCCCAGAAGTGCCTTATACTTCCCTCTGGGAATACATGCATTTTTACATCTATTGCAGGAACAACCTTTCCATACCTCAGCAGATTTTCCTCCAGTAGTTTTTTCCGCTTTGGAGGTCGCCCTCGTCTCTTGCCTGTTTTCCCAGGAACATTTGGGGTGTTTGTCTGCCCCCCACATCCTCTGCAAAGGGCAAAACCACCATGAAATATCTGCTGAGCAAGGGAACCGAGGATGGGAGAAGGGCAGGGAAATTGGAACAGCTGCTAGGGAACCCAACCAAAGGAGGAATTAAATCAGAGCAGCGATGGGATGGGGAGGGGAGAAGAGGAGGGATTCCCACTCTGGGAGTGACAGCACAGCACGGTGCGGGGCAGACGGGGAGGAATGCGGTGGGGCAGGCAGCATCGCTCCCACAGCAGGCTCTCCTGGTGCCACAAAGGCTGCAGGCTGGCTCCCACACAATGCGTGTGGAGCAGGCAGCCCGCTGTCTGCTTGGCAACTCCAGTCTCGCCCCGCATCATCCCAGCCCTCTCCCAGGGCCCCCCCGTCCTGCCGCCCGCTCCCCGACACAACAGCAGTCAGACGGAGTCCCCTCCAGCCGGGCTGGCTGTGCTGTCCCCCCCTGCACCCAGACATGGGGGGAACGTGGTAGAAGCCATTACCTGTCTGGAGCCAGCTCTCCGTTGGTTTTCCCCTGCACCGGGTCCTCCTTGTACATCCGTGTGCCGTAGAAGTACCAGTACAGGGCACCGCTGCTGTCCTCGCCCAGCGGCTCCACGCGGCCGTCCAACCCCGCCGCCCGCCAGGAGCCCCCCCGACAGACGGTGACAAGTTGAAAAGCGGCCACATTGTCACACAAAACATGATGACACCCCTCCACAAACACCTCCCTCCCTCCTCCCCTCCCACCATGCCACAGCAGCAGTACAGCTGCTGCTCCGGGCCGAGCTGGGAAAATGTTACTCCAGGGGGAAGGCGACGTTCGCTCTCTGTCCAGGGAGAGATTTAGATTGGCATCTCTAATTTGAATGGCCTCCCTCGTTTTAACATTTCATCTCTGGTGCTCCTGACAGGGAAGGTCTAATTAGTGCTGGCGACAGTCACGCACAGCCCTGCGAAGCTGCCTCCCTGCTCTCCCCATCCCCCTGCCCTCCCCCCAGCTCCCCCAGTACACTCCAGCCCCATCCTTTCATCTCACCCCATCCCTCAACGAGGCAGTCTCGGCTCTCACAGCCCTGCCATTACAGTTGGAGCATCTCCAAATTCAGTCTTCGCAGGAAGAGGAGCCAACGAAGCCGATTTACTCAGCGACTCCCACCTTACAAATACATCCGCATGGGACAACGGCCCCAGGAGCAGCCCTGGGTGCTTGTCCTCGGCAAGGCAGGGGAGGAGACGGGGAACTGCCGATGCACTACACTGCTACTGGGTGCCTGGCCTTAAAATATACGTCATAGCTACAACCCTTCTCAGGGCCATTCACTGATCTGGGCCGGCTCCTGCAGCCGCAGCGTTCCCCCCTTCCCTGCTGCCCAAAGCACCTTGAGGAGGTCGAAGACGTCGTCTGCATCGAGGCGGTAGTCACAGAGGCGGTGCAGGATCTCGACCCGGGTGCGCAGGGGCAGCTCCTGGAAGGTGGACTCCCGTAGGGGATTGGGTTTCCCTTCCTCCAGTTCCCAGCGATAGTTGATGATGTCCTCCAGGTAGCTGTGAAACGTCTGGGATCTAACCAAGGAAATAAAATCCCACACGCTCGCTGTAGTTCGCCACGACCAAGCAGCTCAAACAAACACAACCCAGAGATGGCTAACACTTGAAGGAAACCCATGCCCTATGACAGCTATGGTTAGCTGCAGCTCAGGTTTCCAAAACACAGCATCGGAGCACTGTGGGATTTCACATTATACACACAGAGCTTACAGGGTGCTGTATTACTGTGTTATTTCTTTCCAACCTGAAAGAACAAGCTAAACATGATCTCACCGCAGCCCCATCCTCTGTTTACCCCAATGGGTAGTGCTTTGTGCTGGCCCCAACATCGACCCTTCACTAAAATAGGATGCAATGAAGCAATGAGACTGAACCCTTCCGCCTCTCCCCGTTTCATGGGGAAACCCTTTTCTTCAGCTTTCCATTTGCTCCTCACATCTGCCATTGCCAAGCCCTGCTCCTCTCTGCCTCATCAGTAGTTTTCCATGCCATGGTTCAGTGCCTTGTAACATTCCATAGCTGACGGTCTCCTCCCCGCTTTGCTGCTGGGTGCTTCCCATACTCCTGTTGTGTGCCGCCCCTCGTCTCCTCTCCCTCTGTCCCCAAAGGTGCGGCCACTTTCTGCCCGTTCCTCCACCACGGCCCTGGCAGGCCAGCTGCACAGCCCCGTTAGTGCACGCGGCTTGGGCCCTGCCACACGAGGCTCGTTCCCAACGTGAGCATACGTCCCAAACGGGGTTCAGCCCAGGACTCTCTAGTCTCCCAGATGACCAAGCTGAACACTTGAGGTCTTCATAAACACGGCTGCTAAAATGATCTTTCTCATTTGCTAGCCCGGCCATGTTAAGCCCCGTTTTTGTCACCAGCAGTTCACCTTATAACCCAAGGAAGCACACATCTCCTACCCCCAGCTGGCACTGAGGGTCAATGTCCGCATCTGACACACATTAGAACACTGATGGAGCTTAAGGCTAAAAGAACTCCTGTCCGTATTTTATGGAGACTTAAGTCCTTATTCAGATTGCTGAAAATTTCAGGGGAGGGAATGTAAAAGGGCTGGTGAGGCCACATGCCCCTAAATATAAAACTTCCTTAAGATCTGTCCATATCACCCTGAATCCTGAGACTTGCCAGGCTCTCTGAGCCTGCTTGAGTTGTGCACAGCAAAGGGGGGACCCCCCCCATGCCCCAGCCATTCTTGCACACACGGGAAGTCCATATGCCGGCAAGAACACCACTGGGTACACATTCCCACCAGCTCTCAAAAAGGCAGCTCAACTTGATAGGTTTTTGGCACCAACGTATTGCTCTATATGATTAATGGAACCGTGCCAGTGCTACAGAATTGCATTTGCCTGAGAAATTGCTAACTACTACAAAAGCTATTATTTTTGAACAAAGAGGTAGAGGAGTGCGATCCAACTGGAATAAGATTGTTAAAAGTCAACAAGAAGTTAGCTAGTAGGCTTCAAGCGTTCGGTAAAGACAGGACTTTGCAAAGACCGTGACTGGATGGTGCCTGCAAGAACGAAGGAACAGATGCCACGATTCCTCAAACCATGTCCACCTGGCAGCACTCCCCTTCCTCCGAGGGGAGGGAAGTTGATGCTACCACCCTGCAGATCACTCCCCACCAGCGTGCTTCTTTCTGACGTCAAATGCAAGCTGACCTTCCAGGGATAACTCCTCTCACCGGATGAGTGTCACCAGCCCTCCAGTCACATTTAACAACAGATGCTTGAATGCACCTGGACCTGGTGCCTTTGGCAGCCTGAAGTTTGCTCTTTTCTGCATGACACAAAGCATTGGGGTTTCCAAGCGTCATTGTTTTGCCCCACTAGTATCAACAGTCAAACAAATACAACTTGAAACAGTCCCATACACTCACTTGTTGACTGGTTCAGCCAACACAACAAAGGAGGACAGGTTTATGAAGAGATTTCTGAGCTGTCTCAAGTATTAATCTTAGGGTAAAAGCTACAGCAAAGTGAAATATTCAGTGCAGAGTACTCCTACCTGAAGTAGCTGTGCATTCCCACAGTGCCTTCCTCATGTACCTCAAGACCCAGTCCAACTTCCAGCAAGGACTTCAACTTGGCAAGGTGGGATACTAGATTCTGTTTATAGACTTTGTATCTTTCTGAGTGCTCTCTGATCACACAGTTTGAAACTACTAAATATTTACTGAAGCCATTGGATTAAAAAAGAAAGACAGATTTGACTCTAGCCCTCAGAACAGAAATAGTGACAGGAATATCTTTTCCTGAAAGCAGGAAAGCAACGCCTGTATCCGGATGCTGAATCCATTGCAGAAGAAAATGACTAAGTTCTCAGAGAGCATCCAAGGTTCAGCCCCCCAAGTTCACTAGTTGAACTCTGTCAGAGCTCAAGGCAGAAGATTATTTCATCAGAGCTCATACTTAGGCTTTTGCTATTTCCAATAAAATTGACTGAAAAAACAGTTTCTCTAGGAACCTGAAAAACTAGTGGGTGATGTGGGATGCTAGGAAGAAGCAACAAAATTAACAGGGCTTTATCTGCTCCCATTTTTCTGTCTGAATTTTTTTCTACCAAAAAAAAAAAAAGGAAAGGCATGGATCAGACAGATACTTTTACCACTTGCATGAGTTCATTATTTTTGCTTTATCATTCTGGCTGCTCTCAAAGAAAACTGATGCCAGAAGCCCCTCAATTCCACAAGATCCTCTGAAATCTTTACCCATGCAACTCTCATTCCCCTGGGGACTGGCTTGGTTGACTAAACCAATTTGGTTTGAGTTTGACTTTCACGTAAGTAGCTAACACTAGAAGTTTCCGCCATCCACCCAGTATTCATACATTACAAGTTCTGTTCTCAAGAGTACTCTGAGTTCCTACCCCCATCAATTTTCAAAGACAGCTACTGTGCATTTGTCGCTTTGAATAAGGATAGAAATGAGAACCAGAGATGGGAACCAGATGTCTCAAGGCATTCCCAATCACTCTCAATCTTACCCAATTTATATCTTCCCTCTTCATGGGGGCCAGCAACTTCCCTCCAGACATATGTGGGATGCTCATCTTCAACCTGTCTACCACACCTCCAGTTAGTCTCACTTAGCTTGTCTTAAATTTCCCTTTGAAAAAGGTTCCTGTAACAGTCCCCCTGGCTTGGGGAAGAAAATCTGCAGGGAGCACAGCAATCTGCGAGAGCTCTGCCCTTGGGGTTCTTCCCTGGGCAAAGCAGAAATCCCCAGGACTAACTGTTTAGCATTATCCATAAAATTCAAACACAATAATCAGACAGACAGGGTCCAGGACTGGAATGACCTGGATGCAGTCTATCACCCTTTTTTCAAGCTCACAAATAGGACAGTGATACCTGCAGGTGTGGCAAGTCCTACAGAATTTCTGCTGCAGCTGAGAACCTCCCAAAACACTAGGTGGGAAGGAGGCAGGAATTAGATCACTGAGATGAGGAGACAGGTGTATCTCTTCTCCAGAAGTTCTCAGCATCACTGAGATTTGTAACAACACTCAACCAACAGATGCAGTGTTAAGACAGCCATGTCCTTTCTCTATGAATTGGAGTATTCCCAAGGAGTGGTACATGGACACGTTCTATGTCAAGGCATGTATCCAAAGGAAAATCAACTCTTCCCTGAAAGTCAACTGGAGCTCCCAGAAACAACTCTCTTGCGGGCTCACAACAAGTGTGAGGCTGCGGGCCACAACGATTGTCACCATATCCCAACAATTTCTACCAGCCCCTGTCATACAGTAAAAGCATCTTCCATACAGCTCGTTGACCAAGGAAAACTATTACAGACATCACCTACAAGAGGTCAGAAAAGTTACCCTGGAGTACTCTGTAACTGTGAAACTTCATCCTTCCCTCAGACTCCTTCTCGCCATCCCAACTTCACTGGCCTCCACATCATTAACATTTCAGAGAACTGAGAAAAAGATTCCCTCCCTTGTCACAATGCTCCCTGCTCTGCAGAGCGACTCGGATGGCTGCAACGGGGAAGCAGTGGAATAGTATACACGTATCTACGCAATACATCCCAGATGGATGCAGGTGATTTTTCATGACCCCCGTCTCATCCCTGGCCGTGCTCTAAAACCACAGGGTAGCTGTCAGAGGTCCCTACCTTTTTTTTTTGCAATGATTAGAAAGGAGGTCAAAGCTGAATCTCACCTGTGGCTGAAAGTTTTAATCATACACTGCAGACCTCTGCACACACAAAAGGAAATCTGGGGCACAGGGAAGGACGCGACCTCGCACATCAGTGCTGAAAGGGAGAAATGGCAGCAGACAAGCCACAAAAGTACCGGCCAGGGTGCAGCTCAAGCTGCCCGTGATCCTCAGCAGCACC